GCCTGGTGGGGACTGAGGCTTGTGCCTGCTGCTCTGCATTTACAGGAGAGGGCAGCCCTTCTGCTCCTGGAGTCTTTCCTGTGGGGGCTCGGAGGCCCAGCATCTCTCATCAACAGTGAACATTTGCTCTCAACACAGAACTCCCCGCAGAGGCACAGGGCACATTCCCTGGGCTACTTGACATAGACCCCTCCGCCCCAGGCGTGCCCCCTATCCCCCTCTCTCGCTGGATCTGGAGGCAGATCGGGTACAATTTGTTTCTCCTTTCTTCCTCCTCTGTAGGCTGGCCACACCGCTCTGTCCATCGTTCTGCAATCACCGTCCCATGTGGAAATTGCAGGCCTTCTGCAGGCCCACGCAGAGCAGGTCCCTGGGGCTGTAGAGGCTGCAGAGGAACCAGCAGCCAGGAAGAAAAGGCTCCTTCTCTGCACTCCTCCTTCACCCTTGGAGAGGACAGGGTTACAGCCTGAGGGTTGCCCCTCAAGAGAAGAAACTATGTCATATGTACATACATTCCTGTTGTGAAATTCTGGTCATTAGGATGCTTTGTAGTTTACGCCTAAGGCCAAGCTTCAGAACTTCAAGGGTTTCAGAGCAGAGTGCAAGGTGCAGAGTGCAGGGTACATTAGCTTTCTCCCAAATACCAAACATCTTCAGCTTTGAATTCCTTGTGACTCTGCCTTGGCAACACCGTGTGGCAGGCAGGCAGGAGCACATTCACACGTTAGAAAAGCAATACTTTTTACAAGGAATTTTAAAATGCACTGTCATTTTGTTTTTAATCAAATATATACATATATGTCCCATTGAATATGCATGTCTTGAGAGGATGGCAAGGGTTTGAATTATTCTCAAGAGGACCTTCGGGAAATCACCATGAAGTCAGGTGAAAACGATCAAGTCCCATTTGGGGCTTGACAGAGAAATCTTGAATTCAGACAAGGTGGGAAGAAGCATATTGGCATCATTGCCAACTATAATGCTCTTGACCATTTCTGAGTCATCAAGTGGCTCCAATCTGCCCCTAGAAATGGCATTAATCAGGAAGTCCAAGTCAATGATGTGCATCACAGAGTGGCAGGGTCCAGTTCTATCAGCTATTCCCAGCCCATGGAGGCAACGAATCCGAGTGAGATCCTGGAGATGGATTATT